AAAAAAAAAAAGAATGATTTATTTAATTTTATTTATTAATTCATTTATTTTAATTTGACCAGAGAGACAGAAAATGAAAGTGAAAAAGCAAGTTTTTATTTTTTAGAAGAGGTTTTTGATTTAGGTTGTGTGCACTCACCAGAGAGAGAGAGTCAGAGACAGTGAGAGGGAAAGTGAGAAATTACACCCCCTTCCCCCAGAGGGATGGCTATGCCACAATCCCTTCTCTATTCTCCTCTCAAGATCTTGGGGACAGATGCAAATGTGCCTTATGTGATTTTAAGCCAGCAGGTCTGGGACTCCTACCACAGTCAGCCATGTGAGAGTCCAGAGATGTAACTGCTAGACCAGCAGTTGGCATAATGACTATGTTGCTGGACTCCCATGTAGTTGACTATGGTTCAAGTCCTGGACTTGGTGGCTTAAACTCATTCCAGTGCGCGTGTGTGCGTGCCCAAGATCCTGAGAGGAAAATGGAGAAGGGGTTGTGGTATGGCCATCCTCCCTGGGGGTGTGATCCCTCGCTTTCCATCTCTCTGTCTTTCTGGCAAGTGCACGTGCCCTATAACAGAAACTCCTCAAAAAAAAAAAAAAAAAATAGGCAGAGATGTAACTGCTACGCCATCTGCTGACTCTTAGTTTTTAAATTCGCTACAGGGCACGTGTGCTCACCAGGGAGAGACAGAAAGAGAGAGAGAGAGAGTGAGGAAGCAAGCTCTTGGTCTACCCGTGTTCGGCCATGTGGGAGTCCAGCGTCTTAACCACTATGCACCTGCTGGCGCCATACTGGCTCTTTATTCTCCACTTCCTGTCAGAGGTGCGTGCACTTGCCCGAGGGAGTATTCCCCATGGTGTGTGGTCATGCCACAATCCTTTTCCTCCATTTCCCCATCCTTTCAGGATTCGGGCATGCATGCATCATGCCTCACCACACCACACACATACCTGGTGTGGTTTTTGTCACCAGGGTTGGGATTCAAACTGTGATGGACCATGTGGGATTTGACTTCCTTCACTGCTGTGCTACAGGGCTGGCCTCAGATTTCTTTTGTCAGCTCCTAGGATAGATGAGATTATAGATATGGCATCTAGGAGTACTTTATTTTTTTCCTATAGGGCATATGCGTGCTTGCCAGAGAGGGAAAGTGAGAAGTTACCCCCCAGGGGGGATGACCAACGTCGCAATCCCTTCTCTTTCACTCTCCTCTTGGGGTTTTGAGCATGTATGCACACGCAACCAGCTTGATTTTCAAGCCGCTGGGTCTGGGACTCGAACTGCAGCGTTGGTCATACAGGACCCAGTGCCTTAACTGCCACATCACCTGCTGGTCCCCAGGTGTCCTTTCTTGACTTCCACGTCTAAAGTAGATGTTTGTCCTAGATTCCAAGATACATATGCACCATTCTGGAAGGTATGGAGGTTAATCACGTAGTTTGTATACTAGAACTAGGCTGCCTGAGTTCAAGCCCTGACTCTCCCTTTTTCTGATTGTGGGAACTTGAATAAGTTCTCCTTCTCCTCCTTCTCCTCCACCTCCTCCACCCCCTCCTCTTCTTTTTAAAAAAATTACTATAGGGTATATGTGCTCACCAGAAAGAGAGAGAGAGAGAAGAGACGAAGGAAAGGTGAAAAAGCATCCCACTCCCCCACCCCCCAGAGGGGATGGTCATGCTCAATCCCTTCTCCTCCATTCTCCTCTCAGGATTTTGCACATGCACACACAAGTGACTGGTCCATTCTCAAGCCTCTGTATGTACAACTTGAACCATGTAGGATTGACTATGCGGGGTTGGCTATGTGGGATCAAACTGACTTGACGACAAGTTCTTATGCCTCATCTTTTTTTCTCCTTGTAATAATTCTTAGATTGGTTATTTATTTTTTAAAAATTATTTTATTTAACTTTCTTTATTTATTTTAATTTGACCAGAGAGGAACAGAGTGAGAGAGAGGGAAAATGAGAAAGCTAGCTGCCAGGTCCGAGTGGTAGTACAGTGCCCTTAACCACCACACCACCAGCTAGCCCCTCAGATTCCCCATCTTTATTTAATTTTATTTACTTATTTGAATTTGACCAGAGAGGGACAGAGTGGGGTGGGGGGAAAAAGTGAGAAAGCAAGCTGCCAGGTCCAGGACTTGGACCGCAGTGGGCCATGTGGGAGTCCAGAGCTCTTAACCTCCACACCACCTGCTGGCCCCCAGATTCCCCATCTTTAAGATGGGGTAACAGTACTGTATCTATTTCATAAAGTTATGAGGATTAAATGTCTCATACACCATACACCATTCTAAATGCATTGGTCAGAATTACTTTTACTCCAACTTGCTTATAACCTTCCAGCTATGAGACCCAAGAGAGCAGGAACTTTCCACCAAAGTATTCCTGGGCTGCTTTGAATAAAGGATAGATGAACCTTGCTAAGTAGACCTAGTCAGAGCTGGGTGGGGGGAAGACAGCTGAGTGTTTGTGTCAGTAAGACGTATGGCTGTCTACCAAATACCAGGGTGTTAAGAGTCAAGAACAATTTGTATGACAGAAAGGATTTCTACTTCCTGACTTCTCCCGAATTTCCAGGGCTGCCCATAATCCAATATGTGGACAAGGCTGCCATCTGGTGGTAGAATGTAGAATATCAGCTCTTTTTTGAGGCAGAACTGACACCAAGGTCTGTGTGTGTGTGAGCGCGTTTTAGTGTTGAGTGGTTTTGTTTTCCCATACTTACATATTTTCATTTTAGATTTCTAGCCTGAGAAGTTCTACAGCATAATGCATTAAGCCTGTCCTTCCTCCAATTCTTCCTCTGTCTTGTCTCTTTCCTTGAGTTTCCTCAGGCTTGGTCCTGTTGGGTTCCCTAAATTGCAGGAATTAACCCCTAGGAGGTTTTTTTTTAGGAACTTCAGAACTCCAGCTGCCCCAGACCCAGTCCCTGAGGGGCCTCGGCGGATTTACGGAAAAGAAGCTGGTAGAGGTCTGGATATTTAGACCTTTCCTCATCCCGGTGCTCGCCGTCCAGGGTTGGGGCCCCACCCACTGTCCTGGTCACCCTGGCAACTTTCTTCCTGCCAGGGGTGCCCCTCTGGTGGCGTTTCCCAGGCAACCTTGAGATCCGCCTCCTTTTACACCCTGACTGGTGTAAAGCAAACGTGGGTAGGCGCCTACAGGTTTTTAGGTTTGAGGGTGGGAGCCAGGAGAGAGGGAGGGGGCATGAGGTGCAGGACCTGGGGAGAGGGAGAGGTAGGTGCTCGGAGGGGAGCAGCAGCCCTGCCAGCCAGTGCCAATGTCAGAGGTGCTGCTGTCAGACCCGGACTCCAGCTGCGCTGCACCTGGCAGGCAGGCCGCCCCTCACACCCACTGCCCATCCATCCGGGCTGGGCGGGAAGCGGCCCCTTTCTTTCCTCCCCAGGGAGGCTTCCCTGGTTTGCCTCCTCCCTTTTCACTGGTGGGGCCACGGGCTCACTTCCTAGTACTCAGGGCTTGTAAGGAGGAGGGACTGACCCTGAGATGTAGCAGAAGGGAGAGGGGCTTCCTCCCTTGGCCTGCCCAAGCGTGCCTCTGGGTGTGCAAGAGGAGGCTATTCTGGGCTGGCGGTGGGATGCTGGTGGAGGGGACCCCTCCCAGGCCTCCTCCCGCAAACCCTACAGCTCCTGGCTCCCAGAGGGGAGCTCACTATGTAATTACCATCCACTCACACCCTATACTTATCTTGCCTGGGTCTCTTGGCAGCTGAGTTAACCTCTTTAGCCTCAGGGCCCTCTAAGAGAAGTTGGGGGTTGGGAGAAAGTGACCAAAGAGTTTGTGTTTGGGGGGCTGTGGTGGAATTGGAGGCAGGATACAACTGGAGGACCCTAAGGAGCATTGTTGGTCACCTCTTCCTTTGCCTCTGGCCTCCCAGAAGAACCCTTCACCCCATTCCCATGCCCAATCAGTCTCCTTCACTCTCTTTGGGCAGGCCAGCCTCTGGTTCCAGTGAGTGAATCCCTTTCCTGTCTTCATTCCTGGAATCCCGGCCACCTCACCTCTTCCCTGCCTCTCTCACCTACTGGGCCTCTTCTGGCCCTGAGTAGGGTCCTTAAAGCAGGTTGCCTTGGGGGCAGCTGCCAAGGCGGGCCGCATTACCCAGCTATACCAGCAGGAGGCACCGTGATTCTAGCCATTGGTCAAGGAAATGGAGGGATAGGAGCGCCATGCCTGCCTTTTCAGGGACATCAAATGCGGGCAGGTGGGCTGACCCAGGAGGTGACAAGGTATAAACTGGCTGCAGGTGAAGGGAGCTGGTGGGAAGCAGAGGGAGGTGGGAGTGTTCGGAAAAAAATTCAGTCTCCAGAGGGAGGTAAAAGGTGAGCGTGCGAGGCAGTGAAGGTGAGGTCGCTGCTGGGCAAGGGGGTGTGTGTGTGGCATTCTGGGAATGGAGAGGGTCTGAGGATTCCCAGAGGACCTGGCTGGGATCCGGGAACAAGAACCTGAACTTACAGATGTGATGGCGGGACAAACCGGTGTGGGCTCCGCCTAGGGATGCGGGCATCTGCCCCCATCACAGCCCTGCCGCTCCTCACCCCTGATGTCCTATCCCTGGGGAGGAATCCAGCCCTCTGAGAAAAACCTGGGCAAGCAGCCCCAGAGGCCACACCTCTGTGCCTACCAGGTCCTAAGCACCCTGAGGGCAGGGCCCGGCTTGTGTAGGGTTCCAGTAGTGAATGAATGAGTGAATGAATCCCTCTTAGCCCCAGCCTAGACCTCTTGGCCTTTTAGTCCCAAGGTGCAGAAACCTCGGCTAACCGTCCCTCCCTAGCACTGCCTCTTTCTCCTGTGGTCATCTCTGTTCTGGTTCAGGAGAAGCCACGGCTGTGAGGCTCTGACACCCAGGCAGATCCTGCTCTGCTCCTGAGCTGGGACCTGGACGGACCACAGCAGGAAGCCAGGAGCGCGGAGGGCTCCAGGCTGGAGAGGCTGACACTGCCCACCCTGTCCACTCACCAGCTGGGCATTTGGACTGACCGCATTGTTAATGGTGACACTGGCTGGGAGGATGCTGGGATACGAGGCAGGGAAGGTTTGGGAGAAGGAGGAGGTCCAAGGTCAGGGAAAAGATGGGAGGCAGTCCCCTGTGGACAGAGCATGGCAGAGGTGGGGTAGCATATAGGGGTGGGACAGGAGCTGGGCCTCGGGGCTTGAATCAGGGTACTAGACAAGGCTGAGGTAGGTGGGAGGTACAGAGGAGGCTGGATTGTCTCTCCTGACTCTTGCCTTGGCTACCCGGGGTCAGGAGCAGATGGATGTAAGGGAGCATCCAGATAGTTCTCAAAGCAAAATTAATTAATTAATTAATTAATTAATTTTTTGGAGAGGTTTTTTGCTATAGGGCGCGTGCGCTCGCCAGACAGAGAGAGACAGAGAGATAGAAAGAGAGGGATGGCCATGCTGCAATCCCTTCTCCTCCATTCTCCTCTTGGGATCTTGGGCACGCACGCACACGCGCCCGGCATGAGTTTAAGCCACCAGGTCCTGGACTCGAACCATGGTCAACTACATAGGAGTCCAGTGACATAGCCATTACACTAACTGCTGGTCCCAGCAAAATTATTTTAAATCCCATTAGTCTAAGAACAGGGTATGGGGAGGCCAGCAGGTGGTGTGATGGTTAAGGTGCTGGACTCCCACACAGCCGATCATGGTTCGAGTCCCAGACCTGGTGGCTTGAAAATCATGCCAGTGTGTGTGTGTACGTGCCCAAAATTCCAGAAGGAGAGTGGAGGAGAAGGGATTGTGGCATGGCCATCACCCCTGGGGGATGATTATTCACTTTCCCTCTCACAGTCTCTGTCTCTCTCTGGTGAGTGTACACGCCCTATGACAAAAACCTAAAGATAGGGACCAGCAGATGGTGAAATGGTTATGTTGCTGGACTCCTGCATAGTTGACTGGAGATTGAGTCCTGGACTTGGTGGCTTAAAACTCATGCCAGGTGCATGTGCATGTGTGCCCAAAATCCAGAGAGAATGGGAGAGAGGGAATTGCAACATTGCCGTCCCCCCCGGGGACAATTTCTTGCTTTCTATCTCTCTGTTTCTCCAGTGAGTATACATGCCCTATAGCAAAAATCTCTCCAAAACAAACAAACAAACAAACAAAAAACCCTAAAAATAAAACGAGTAAATAAAAATAAAAATGAAAACAAGGTATGGAGCCAGTGCATGGCTTGCTGGGTAAAGTGGTTGAATCCCACATGGCTGACCGTGTGGTGAATCCTGGACCTAGTGGCTTGAAAAATATGCTTGGGGGGGCTGGCAGGTTGCATGGTGGTTAAGGCACTGAACACCCATGTGGCTGACTGTAGTTTAAGTCCTGGACCTGAAGGTTTGCTTTCTCACTTCCCTTTTTCTCTCTCTGGTCAAATTAAAATGTGATAATAATAACAAATGAAATTAAATAAATTATTTGTAAAAAAAAAAAGAAAGAAAGAAAAACACACTCAGTACGTGTTTTGTGCTCAAAATCCTGAAAGGATATTTTTAAAAATTTGACCAGATAGAGAAAGAGAGAAAGGAAAAGTGAGAGCAAGCCACCATGTCCACGACTCAAACCATGTTGCGATGTGGGGGAGTCCAGTGCCTTAACCACCAGGCCACTGCCTGGTCCCTTCTTCTTTTTTTCTTTCTTTTTTTTTTTTTGGAAAGGTTTTTGGTACAGGGCGTGTGCACTCGCCAGAAAGACAGAGAGACAGAAAGGGAGAAATCACCCCCAGGGGGGATGGCCATGCAGCAATCCCTTCTTCTCCATTCTCTTCTCAGGATATTGGGCACGCACGCACACGCGCTTGGTGTGAGTTTAAACCACCGGTTTCGGGACTCAAACCATGGTTGACTACATGGGAGTCTATTATGCCAACTGCTGGTCCTGATCCTGGTCCCAGTTGTTTTTAAATTTGACTAGAGAGAGACAGTGAGAGAGAGGAAGTGAGAAAGCAAGCTGCTAGGTCTGGGACTTGAACTCCAGTCAACCATGTGGGAGTCTAGTGCCTTAACCACCATGCCATCTGCTGGCCTGCCATGTACTTTTAAAAATGCTCCTGGGTGGTGGTGGGGGACCAGCAGTTGCGTAATGGCTATGTCGCTGGACTCCCATGTCGCTGGACTCCCAGTTCTAGCCCTGTACCGGTGTCTTAAATTCATGCCAGGTTCGTGTGTGCATGTCCAAAATCCCGAGAGGAGAATCACACCCCCTGGGGGTGTTTTCTCTCTCTCTCTCTCTCTCTCTCTCTCTCTCTCTCTTTGTTTTTCTGGCAAGCACATCCGCCCTATAGCAAAACCTCTCAAAAAAAAAAAGCTCCATGGGGAGCTGGCAGGTGGTGTGGTGGTTGAGGGCGCTGGACTCTCACATGGCTGACCATGGCTCAAGTCCGGGACCTGGTGGCTTGCTTTCTCACTTCCCCCCTCTCTCTCTCACTCTGTCATTCTCTGGTCAAATTAAAATTAAAAAATAAAATTAAATAACTAAAATAATTCTTTTAAAAAGATGCCCCTTAGGGACCAGCAGTTAGCATAATGGCTATGTGGCTGGACTCCCATGTAGTCGACCGTAGTTTGAGTCCCAGACACAGTGGTTTAATCTCATGCCGGGCATGTGTGTGCATTCCCAAGATCGAGAATGGAGGAGAAGGGATTGCGGCGCTTTCTGTCTCTGTCTTTCTGGAGAATGCACATGCCCTATAGCAAAAACCTCTCCAAAAATGTTCCTTGGGGCCAGCAGATGGTGTGGTAGTTAATGTGTTGGACTCCCACATGGCTGACTGTGGTTTGAGTTCCAGACCTGGCATTGCTCCTCCCGCCCTGCCTCCCTCCTGTCTCTCTCTGGTCAAATTAAAATAAAAATAATAAAACTTAGTATAACAATTCTTTTTAAAAAATGCTCCTATTTGGGTGAGCCAGGTTCTCAGGTTCAAGTCCAGGACCGGGTGTGTATGTGTGCATGTGCCCAAAATCTTGAGAGAATGGAAATCGGATTGAGGTGGCCAACCCCTTGGGGGTGGGGGGGTGATTTCTCACTTTCCCTCTGTCTCCCTCTAGGGAGCTTATATGCCCAATTGCAAAAACTTAAAAAAAAAAAAATCTGTTTCCTTCCCTGTCTGTGGAATGGAGAGCTTGTCCCTTTACATTCCAAGGTCACCTCTGAGAACACCATCAACATCACTTCTCCGAGTCCCCCCTCCTGAGCTCCTCCAGCTGCAGGAGAAGCCCTTTCTCCACAGTGTGGCCAGGACTTGGCTCTGCCTGCTGGCAGAAGGCGGGACGTGGACTTCCTCTCCTTGCTGCCCCGTTCCTAGCACATGTCTGGCATCTAGCGGCAGCTAGCTAAGGAAGCTGATGAAGAGCCTTCCTTCAGCAGCATTGCTCCTCCTCCATGGCCTGCCTGCCATGATTAAGGGGAGCAAGGTCCAGAAGGGCTTGGCGTGCCCCACTGGAAGGTCACGATCCTAGAAACTGGTTCTCAGCCCAGCTCTCCTTTCTTTTTGCTCTTAGTTTCTTTCCTTCTTGTGTATGTACACACACACACACACACACACACACGACTGAGGACTTTTTTTGTTTGTTTGGAGAGGCTTTTTTGCTATAGGGTACATGTGCTCTCCAGCCAGAGAGAGAGAGAGACAGAGAGACAGCGAGAAATCACCCCCTAGGGAGGATGGCCATGCCGCAATCCCTTCTCCTCCATTCTCCTCTCGGGATCTTGGGCACGCACGCACACACGTCCAGTGTGAGTTTAAGCCACCGGGTCCGGAACGCGAACCGCGGTCGACTACATGGGATTCCAGTGACCTAGCAATTATGCTAACTCTGGTTCCAAGAAGTGGTTTTTTGAAGCAGGACCGTAAGAACCTAAGGGGTTGGGGCCCACAGGTGGCATGGTGGTTAAGGGTGCTGGATTCCCACATGGCCTGCTATGGTTTGAGTCCCGGACCCCTGGAGGCTCGTTTTCTCACTTTCCCTCTCTCTTGCTCTCACTCTTGCTCTGTCCCTCTCTGGTCAAATTATAATAAATAAATGAAAAAAGTTAAATAAAATAGCTCTTCCAAAAAAAAAAAAAGAACCAGGGTCAAGCAGTTGGTGTAACTGCTATGTCGCCGGACTCCCATATTCCCATGTACTTGACCACAGTTTGAGTCCCAGACCTGGTGGCTTACACTCACACCAGGTCACCTGGTGCATGTGCGTGCGTGCCCAAGATCCTGAGAGGAGAATGGAAAAGGAATTGCAGCGTGGCCATCCCCCTGGGGAGTGATTTCTCGCTTTCTGTCTCTCTGACTTTCTCGGGTGAGCCGCAATAGCAAAAACCTCTAAAAAAAAAAAGAACCTAAGGAGGTGGGAGCAAGCTGGGGGAGGTGGGGGCTGAATGCTGGCCCTACCTATCCTTTGGCATCTTCATCAGCTCTTTCTGTGGTACACAGAGAGGGAGGCCCCTGATCCAGCGTCCCTCTTCCAGCCCTTACCTGGCTCCCCCCCCCATGAGAAGGGCTGTCTGCTAGGATGAGAGGGGAGAGGGGAGAGGCGGGGTGTGTGGGGGGGTTAGGCCTGGTCTGCCTGGGCGTCCTCCCCAGTCCTCACCATCACAGGCTCTTCAGGAGCCATGGGAGCACAGCCCTTGTCAGCCCCCCAGGGAGGGGCCGCCTCCGGAGTCCTGTCTGGCTGGGTGGGGTGGCCCCGAAGGGCTTCCTCCCCTTTTCTCAGCCCAGAGCCCTGGAAAATGGAGAGGCTGCATTAACAGTAGAGGCCAGAAACCCCCAGTCCAGGATGTGAGGCCAGGGACTTTCTGGAAGTGTTTCTTCTGGCCCCGCCAGATCCCAGGCAGACTGGGGGTGAGGGCTTGAACCGAGAGGGGCAGCGGACGGTGTGGACTCCTCTCGGAGCCCACTTGGTCTCCTCGTCTCAGCTCGCTGTCGCCCGCCTCCCCCTTTCTTAAAGCGGAGAACCCGGGGCGCTCGCTGCGCTCTCTCCCCGGGGGCAGGGAGGTCGGTGCCTTCCCTCGGCGGGGTGGGCGCTGTCTTCGGGGCGGGGGCCACGTGGCCCCGGGCGGGCGGGGGGCTCGGCCCTCCCTCGCCGGCCGGGGGACTCAGGCCGCAGCTCGTTC